AAAAAAAAAAAAAAAAAAAAAAAAGAAATTAGTTACAAGGGGTGGTTGAAGGGGAGAGGAAGGAGAGGAGAATGAGAATATGGTAGAATGGATGAGGATAGAGTTACACTTCTTTATGAACACCTTTTTGCATATCTCTGACTTTTACAAGCAGAGTAATGCTTCACATTCCCTTCCATGGTCAAAACAATTCAAATAATTGGTTCTCAAATAATTTAAACCAATAGGTATACGAATGAAATGAAAAATGGAATAAAAACAGTAACACAGGCCAGGTGCAGTGGCTTATACCTGTAATCCTAGCACTCTGAGAGGCTGACACAGGTGAATTGCCAGAGCTCAGGAGTTAGAGACCAGCTGAGCAAGAGCGGACCCTGTCTCTAAACATAGCCAGGCACTGTGGCAGGCACCTGTGGTCCCAGCTACTCAGGAGGATGAGGCAAGAGAATCGCTTGAGCCCAAGAGTGTGAAGTTGCTATGAGCTGTGAAGCCATAGCACTCTACCCAGAGCAACAAAGTGAAACTGTCTCAAAAATAAATAAATAAATAAAAATAAAAAACCAGTAACACATGAACGTAACTATATTATTAATAAAAAATATAATCAGGAAGAAAAGAACTACCCTAATTAATTTTGGAAAATAATAGATAGCCCAGATACTACGAGGTTAAAGGCAAACAACAACAACAACAAAAACACTTACACACAAATCGCTTTAATAAATACTTGTGTTTTAATACTTGTGTTTTAATACTTGTTTAATACTTGTGTTTTGTCACTTTAATAAATACTTGTGTTTTTCACAAGTATGAGTCACAATTCTGCTTTACTTTATGTGTATACTAGAACTGAATGAGTAAGCAAATATATAAGGGACAGCCTGTTTCTCACGATGGGAAAAAAGTTACAAGTAAGGATCCTGTGGTATTGTAGTAGAGTCAGAGCTTTCAGCATAAAATTATAGTTTTTGAATGTACAGATAGAGCGTACAAAAATATAGATGTCTACGTATGCATGGTTTAGTATCGAGAACACGTATTTCCTAGCTTTTTCTACAGCTGAGAAGTAATGAAAAACCAGTAGCAATGAGCACACATAGAAAACACATATTGGTTTCAATATACCATTCTTCAGTAAAGAGAAGCAGGAATTCTTGGGGAAGTGGGTGATTTAAGACCTGGGGCAATGCAAATCAAAACTACTTTGAGATATCATCTAACTCCAATGAGATTAGCTTATATCACAAAATCCCAAAACCAGAGGTGCTGGCGTGGATGTGGAGAAAAGGGAACACTCCTACACTGCTGGTGGGAATGTAAACTAATACATTCCTTTTGGAAAGACATCTGGAGAACAC